CAAGGTCATGACCTTACCGGAAAGGTCATGTTGCATATCAGTCGATGCGTCTCAACAAGACAAACACAATGAGACCATCCCCAGCGTTCTATCTCTTTCCAATCGCGAGTTATTGGCAAAAAACTGTTTGTAGCCTCAAGTGACCTCGGATGACCTGTCTAGAGGCTATCAGCAAAAATTGCACCTTGGTCATCACGAGTGGACTAAATCATTGTGATTCTGAAATATTTGGACTGTTCCGATGCGTACACACGGATCTAGAGGCATTTTCATTTTTTCTCCATTGACTTGTAATGGAAAGGTCACGCCACTGACCTGACCTTAGGTCACGGATATAAAAAATCCGAGATATACAAATTGTAGGCGCCCATAACAGCATGCAATCCACAAAGTTTCAAACCTTTTTGACAAACACTGCAGGCTGGACATGATTGCAAACTTTTTTTTAGGCTTGGTCAGTTAACTTGACCTGGTGACCTGACCTGACATGACCTGGGGTCAAAAATTTCACACATTGTCCAAAATTGATGTACCAAAAGCTACCCCAAGCGGCGAGGCGCTACGCGCCGCGGTTTTTTATTCACACGCAAAAAAACGCGACAGGGTGGTAACATATGCCCCCCCCCCCCACTGGGGCGAAGGTTAAATGAATTCACCCACACATGTGCACTTAACACGATTCTAAGAAATTAATTTATGGATCTCATCCCTTTGATTTTGACGCCATGGAAACATGTTATCTTTTATTGAGTTATGCTAGTGTGATCACCTATATGTATATTTTGAAATGATACCACCAACCAGGAACCACACAATTGAAAAAATAAGCATAGGCATACTTGCATCAGTACCTTGAGTCATTGACATCACTGTAATGCGGCTTAATTGCCCTGCTGACTGCTGAGTCCGAGTCGGAACCTCAATGGACAATGCAGCCCTGGTACCCATTTTCAATAAAGCTGCATACACGATAGAGCCTGGATGAGGTAATGGCTATTTTTCCACGCCGTACGCGAGCACTTTTCTTCATCCATGACTGGTACGAACATTACGCCACCAATTTGTCTTGCGAACGAACCGGCTCATGAGCAATACGACAAAAGAATGCGACTGAGGTTCTATTTCTTTGACCAAATCATTTTCTTAATTGTCCTAAAATAACAGATCAGATGCTAGTGTGGCGTACCAAGACATTGACAAATTGCACCAATCTGGTCAGAGTGGCAAGCTGCCTCAAACCAATCGAAGCCTAATAAGGGATTGCAGCAATTATGGCTCATTTCATTGACGAAGTACGATTTCGACATATCGATTGAATGACTCGTCGCGCGGTGACCGTCGGAAAAGAGACCCTAACAACCGAACCAGGCGGCACTTCAGAAGTCCGTAAAGCCTGATGGGAATCGGGTGAAGTGTGGCGCCTCCCAAAAGGTTTTGACTGAATAAGTAATTGTCAGCCAGTTTTGGAATAATCGAAATCGAAATGCTACCTGAGACAACTACAGCAGCATTTGTGTCTTGGTGAACTAGTGGTAACTCACGCCCGGGAGTGTTCAGCAGCTCAATTTGGACTTCAAAAGACGAAGAAAAGAGGAAGCAAGGAGGAAGTTAGAGGGAGATCCTATCCTGCAGCGAATTTGGATATTAGGCGCAAATCAAGATACTAGACGGACGACAAAGGAAATTAGGACAGAAGTTGAGTTGCGGCACGGCTGTGGTTTCGTTGACATTTGTCGGGAGTTCCCGCGCGTTCGGTGTGGTGCGTCAGGCGGAGGTCCACCCTCCCCGCGCTGTCTCCGGAGGTCATGCAGTCCGCGGCCGCCGCGCTGCTGCTGCTGGTGTCCGCCGCGCTCGGCGCCGAGCGGTTCGACCGCCACCAGGACCTGGAGCCGGTCGCCTGGATCCACCAGCTGTCGGCGCCCTCGCTGATCAGCTGCACGACCCTCTGCGTGGCACTCTCCTCCTGTGGCCAGGTGAACTGGGAGAGCGCCGATCGCCTCTGCAGGCTGGCCGAGTCGACCGCGGATGGCGGCCAGCCGCCCAGTGACGCGCCGCAGCTGACCCTCTACCGACCCGCGGCCGCTGCGGTGACCACTCCTCCGCCGACCACAACTCCGCCGACCACCACTCCGCTGACCACCACTCCAACTACTCCGGTGGCGAGCAGCCTCGTGGACGGCCGCTACTACTGGCACGCCGTCTCCTCCTCGGCGATTGGCTACGACGACGCCCGCTCCCACTGCCAGGGCCTGATGTCGGGTGCTGACCTGGCCAGTCTCCACACGCAGGCCCAGCTCGACTTCCTGTGGGCGGACACAGCGCGCCCGACGTCCCTGGAGTTCATCGGTGTCACCTACAGCAATAGCGGCGGTGTTAGAAGACCGAGAAACCCAGACGGCGCCGACCTGCCGTTCGACATCACTGGCTACATCACGGGCGGCAGCGGCTCGCGTCTCCTGCTGCCCGCCAGCCACGGGACCGGGGAGCTGCAGCGGTCGAGCTACAGTAGCACCACACTGACACACATGGTGTGCGAGTCTCTCACCGCTCCTCCCAGTGGCGTGGCCGTCACCCCGCCCAGCGTCTAGCTCCCTCAGCTCCTCAGAGCAGTGGCCGTCACCCCTCCCATGGGAGGGGTGACGGAGACGTTGCAGCGTCTAGCTCCCTCAGCTCCCCAGTGCCGTGGCCGTCGCCCTGCCCAGTGTCTAGCTCCCTAACCTCCCCCATTCTCCCCAGCTGCCACCCTACCCGATAGCGCCTAGCGCCTAGCGCCTAGCTCCCTCAGTTCCCCGGTCTCCCCAGCGGCGTGGCTGCCACCCCGCGCGCCTAGCGCCTAGCGCCTAGCTACCTCGCGTGCCGGCATACTTTACCCAGTGGTATAGATCAAACTAGCGAGAAATACTGTCAAATTTGTCCCGCACAGTCTAATAAGAAATGGTTGGTTTATCAAGACTAGTATGTAAGTCGGAAACCGTACAGCTATAACCTGTGGTGAAATACACGCAAATTGCATTTTGGTTTGTTTATTGATGTAGGAATGTACCTACATCTAGTTAATTAAGTGGCTAATAGTTACTATTTTAGTGAAGTTCTTATGACATAGGCCTACTATTGGAGTAGGTATTGCACAGCAAGCACGATTTAATAGCTATTCACTAGGTGCGTTAAATTCGTCCAGGAAATGCTATTAAACCAGTATAGCGCCTTTTGGGGCGACTAACGTAGCGAGCGAGGGGGTGAGTCTTGCACGTGCAAAATTTCGAGGGGGTACCTCCAACTGACTTGTGCACGGCACCCTACTGACTGGTCTCTAGCGATGTGCCAAATTTGGGCACAATCGGCCCAGCCGTTCTCGAGATCTGGAAGCGGCACCCTGCACGTGCGCACGTGCAAAATGGGTCCCAACTGACTTGTGCACGGCACCCTAGTAACCGGTCCCTAACTGTGTACCAAATTTGAGCGCAATCGGTCGAGCCGTTCTCGAGATCTGGAAACGACCCCTGCACGTGCGCACGTGCAGCGGCACCCCAACTCTGGCACAATGGATATGCAGTGCCTAGTGGGTGCCTACCTACATGCCAACTTTCAGCGCAATCGGCCAAGTAGTTACCGAGATATTGCAACAATTGCAAAAGTGACACCTCTTCGTTTTGCACGTGGCACGTGCATAAGGGGTCACCCACATGCATCGGGAATAGTCCAATACTTGGTAGAAGGAATGAAGCTACCCTACAAAAATTACCGCATGTAAATCGGTCAAGTGGTTGCTGAGATATAAGCCTCGCAAAAGCGTCCGCACGGCCGGCCGGCCGGGGCCGCTCATACTAAGAAATTTCCGTTATTCTACAGACTCCGCTCGCTTCGCTCGCTCCGTAATGAAGAATAAATGCACACTTTCTAGTACCTACTTTGTGATTGTGTCTATAATTAGGTAAATGATATTGGCTGCAATAGAATTAGGCACTAAAATATACTTGCTATGAAAACATGGCAGCCGCTTTATAATCGTGGAATATTTGTTTATTCATCTCGAATTGCAATCAATATTGGGACGAGATCGAAAATAAACGAATAACTCCTCGCCGGGGCTTTTTATCGCTGCGTGCTGCGGAGTGCTGGGGTTGTCGAGACTCCGAGTGCCGCCAGTTCTTCCGGGCTTGGCTCGAGAGCACGGAACGAAGAGCGACTGTTCATCGTCAGAATAGTATGGCTTGTGATAATGCTGATCGAGTGGTAAGGGGGGGGGGGGGAGGGTCGCTATGGTGACAGTTGTGATCGTCCGACGGGAGCTTGTATAACTGGTGACGGGGCTAACCCTGCCGGAGGAGGTGTCAATGCTACTGACCCTGTCCTAAGGGATATTGTGACGGAGCAGTCCCTGTCCTCAGGAAGATAGGAGTGGTCACTGTGGTGACGATGATACGGACGCTGTCCTCAGACAGGATGGCGCGGTTGGTCACGGAGCTGACCCTGTCTTCCTCATGGGGCGGCTGGTCACGGAGCTGACCCTGTCTTCCTCAGGGCGGCTGGTCACGGAGCTGACCCTGTCTTCCTCAGGGCGGCTGGTCACGGAGCTGACCCTGTCTGCCCTCAGGGCGGCTGGTCACGGAGCTGACCCTGTCTGCCCTCAGGGCGGCTGGTCACGGAGCTGACCCTGTCTGCCCTCAGGGTGATGGTGACAATGATACTGACCCTGTCTGCCCTCAGGGCGGCTGGTCACGGAGCTGACCCTGTCTGCCCTCAGGGCGGCTGGTCACGGAGCTGACCCTGTCTGTCCCCAGGGCGGCTGGTCACGGAGCTGACCCTGTCTGCCCTCAGGGCGGCTAGTCACTGAGATGACCCTGTCTGTCCCCGGCTGGTCACGGAGCTGACCCTGTCTGCCCTCAGGGCGGCTGGTCACGGAGCTGACCCTGTCTGCCCTCAGGGCGGCTGGTCACGGAGCTGACCCTGTCTGTCCTCAGGTCGATGGTGACAATGATACTGACCCTGTCTGTCCTCAGGCAGGATGGCGCGTCTGGTGACCGAGCTGGACATCCAGCAGTTCGCCATGGACGGCGCCGTCTGCCTGAGACGCGTCTTCTCTGAGCGCTGGGTGGACGCCGTGCGACAGGGCATCGAGGCCAACAAGGCGGCGCCCAGCCCCTGCGCTGAGTCACTCAAGGTGGGTCATTGGAGATTCATGGGCGACATGTGGGGGTGCTTACGGGGAATAGCTCTACTTAGTCGGAAATGATGCTACTGAAGAGGTACCGAGCGAAAATTACTCTCGTTTAGGTCATTACGATATAACAGCTGATATGCTTCCACTATTTTTTCTTTTTGGGATAAAATAATGTACGGAAGAAACGCAAAGACTTTGCACTAAAGAACCTACAGCTTCCGCTTGAAGCACAACTTAATTGTTTTCTAAAGCATGCGCACCTCTGTCATTATGTGATGTCTGCATAATCTATCAAGGCTGGCAATCATGCTCGGTAGGTAGTACAGCTTAATTTTTTTTAAATTTCTGCAAATGCAATTTGCAAACGTAGGTAATACGCACCCGAAGCTAGTTTTGATGTTGTCTGTCGAAAACGCTTAGTAATGAAAATACTAAAAGTTAAGTCTATTTTTGTAGTAACGAAGTCTTTCTGATGAAAAGTTAGGTATTGCTTCAATTAATTAACAAAAAATAAGATGATAATTTCATATTTTAGGTTCATCGATATAGTCCGACCTACTGTACGTATTTGTGCGCATATATAACCCGGCAGTTGCTGGGGTATTTCGCCACCCACCGTTTGCTGGGGGGGGGGGGGCGTTAAACGCCCCCAGCCGATAACTCGAGAACCAATAGGCGCAGCGAAACGCACGAGGCGGCAAACGAAAGAACGCGACGAGACGCTTCAGATGAGTACTTTAAAGTTGAATTTTGAGGTAACAGGTCGGGTCAAGGTCAGGTCAAACACCTGAAATCGGGCTTTCAGTAGCATGGACTTCAGGACTTCGCAATGGGCGCCTCTCGTCATAAACTCTGTCAAAACGGTGCACAATCCATCATATAAGGCCTACAAGAGTGTCAGCTCCATGTAGGGGTCAGGTAAGCATAGGTCAGGGTCAAGGTCAGGTCAACCGGGTAGGCAAATATCCCCGAAAATCAAAACTGATATTCGCAGCCTGTGACACATGTTTAATGGGTAATTTGGGGCGTAGAACACGATGGTGACATTCATTTTATCATATGTGTACGTGTTTGGCTCAAAAAGTTCAATTTAAGAAATGCATGTATCATGGTCGTGAAGTAGTCACGAGAAATTGCCAAGATTCAGTTCAAGATTTTGGAAAATGCGGAACGATAATCAATAATCGAAGATAGCCATTTGATTGTTCATGGTATTGGCAGTCTAATGGCGTTTACGGCATGTATGTATGTCTATTCTGTGATTTTATATGATTTTTCGAACATATGCCGTTTTTGGTCGAAAAATCAGAAATCATGACGTCACCAAAACCTCGATATCTCAAAAATTTTCCAACCGATTTTTTTGAAACTTTGTCACAATACACTTCAATCAATTTCCTACAGGTACCCAAAATTTGGCGCGCCTGCGGCGCGCCGTTTTTATGCTATGGCCCGGCGAAAAAAGTGGGGGCGTTTAACGCCCCCCCCAGCAACTCGCGGGATAATGCATGCACCATGTGTTTATGCTCATTACTCGTTTGATTAACCGTGGGCCTCGACAGTCCGCTGACACCTTATGTCGGAGTCGATCAGTGTCGTATGTGAGGGACACCGACGCGACGGTCGTCCCCTCGAACCGAACCGGCCCCTCCCCTCCCCTCCCCCTCGGTACCGTGTCGACGATCCTACTGACAGGTGACATATAATTTATAAACAGCACCGACCCAGTCCTTCAGTCCTGTATTCCAGAGCGCTGTTGGTGCAGATTGGTCACTGACAGGCAGACGGCGCCCGCGCCGCCCCCCCAGCGTCACATTTGCCCCGACCTGAGTCAGCCCTGCGCAACCGCTCTGTCAGCCGCAGTCATGTTTGATGCGATTGTTTTAAAAACATTGAATAGCTGGCAATAGTTCATGATGCAACGCCGTTCCACACAGGGTGTTGACAGCGAGGGCGCCTACTTCAACGACTACTGTAACTGGGAGAAGATTCCCCAGTTTCGAGAGTATATCACGGAGTCGCCGGCAGCTGAGATCGCCGGCAGACTGATGGAGTCCCAGGTCAGCTCATATCAAATCTGTTTGTCAGTTAGTGCTCGTTCTGCGGTCGATCAGCTGCAATCCATACCAGAAGACCCAATGTAAAACGTCGTTTTTGAGTAAACATGCGATGCGTGATTATTCAGTTACTTTGAAATACCTACTCAGTAACAAACTTATTTCAATGACGAGAGGTGCCATTCAATAGCAATTGAAAATGGAATTATTACGTCTTATTATCGCGCCATTGATGCTGACCGGTAAAGCAACATGTTCTCAGGTATCAGCCATTTTTTGATAAGGCAATATGTCCTCAAGTGTCGCCATTTGACTGGATAACGCGCAATGTCCTCAGGTATCAGCAATCTACCACGAGCACGTGCTGACGAAGGAGCCGGGCACGGTCAAATTGACGCCGTGGCACCACGACCAGAGTTACTACCCCATCGACGGCACAAAGGTGAGGTGAAAGAGACGGAGCACCGTCTCCGTCCCCTTCCGCACATATAGACTCAGCCACAGACCGTCATTATACCTCCCTTCGGCGAACAGCGGTGCGCAGCGCACAGTCACGGTCACGTACCGTCCGTCCAGATTATTGTCATTTCTGAGAATGACCGTGTCCTGTTTTCAGTTCCTGCCTATGTGTGCAATAAGTGCACCATGCATGTGTGCTTTATGCCCCATGTCCATTTCCTGAAACAACAGTGCGAAGTTGGTTCATATTTCAGCCGTTTTGTGATCAGGGCTCCAGCTACGTAAACTTTCTCTTGGCTCAAGGTTCTTCACGATCGTTATGATTCATTTCTGACATAAACAAATCATATATTTAACTATCAGATTTAGTTAGCTAAACGTAGGATGTTTGTTAACTGTTCATAACTACCAGAGTCTTAGATGACCGACTCAGTACCCGCTACAGATATTGGTACTCTCCCCAGTGGTTAGTTTACACTGCATCTGTTTCAAGGAACTTGCGCATCTATTTAGGTCTAACAACAACATGAGCTCCAAACTCTGAAATAAGAAAACAGTGAACAGGAGATCGGGTCCCAGCCTGCTTTGAACGGTTGAAATAAGGTCGTGCCCCCGGATGTCCCAGCCAGTCACTGTGAACTATATGTATCTCCACAGAGGGCTGGTGGAATGTCCTCGACCTATGTTTACGGACATTGCCTAAACACAGTGTCAGTACCTACCGGACTGTATCCTTTGTAGGGCTGGTTTGGCCTTTCCAGTCACCCGAAATGCCCTAAGCTGGATCACTCGTCTGAAGGATACCTGCACAGCCATTCCACCATGCAGTGCCTGGTGTGGTTTGTGTGCAGTATCTTTGGATTGTTTGTGCGGTATCTGCAGTATCTGTGGATTATCTGTGCGGTATCTGTGCAGTACCTGTGCAGTAAGGTCCTACTGTCTGAGGGTGACCGGTAGCTTCGTGCTCCGCAGGTGTGCAATGTCTGTCCTGTCTCTGAGGTTGTGCAGTGTCTGACCGCTAGCTGAGTTTGTGCAGTACCTCCCTGCTGCCGCAGGTGTGCAGTATCTGGATGCCGGTGGACCCGGTGCCTCTGGAGGCGGCCATCCAGTTTGTGCGCGGCTCGCACCTTTGGAGTTCGTGGTTCTACCCGCGGAAATTCGCCACTGGCCGGCGCTACCCGCCGCTCTCGGAGAGACCGGACGCCGCCGCGGGGGAAGGCGGTGCCGAAAGGGTGTACGAAGACGTGCCTGAGGAGGATATCGAGGCCGGCAAGCACGAGCTGCTCAGCTGGGCTGTCGAGGTCAGTCAGCGCGGCGTCCGCCTCGAGCCATCATTAGTTATGGAGTCTTGCGCTGTTCTTAGGAACACGATTGCTAATAAATTGAGATGACGCATGGTCGAAGGCAGTTCAATGTCGAAACGGATTGTTATACGAATATACCTATATGCGCGTTTTTTTTTTTTTTTTAGGCATTCAGGCTTAGTCCAGCCACGGCGTTTGTGTCTGTTTTCTGGCCTTTGTGCTGAGTCCAGCTAATCCCGCTCTGTTTCTCCCCTCAGCCGGGCGACTGTATAGTGTTCCACATGAAGACGGTGCACGGTGCGCCCGGTAACACCTCGGTGACGACACACAGACGCGTCCTCTCCACTAGGTGGTTCGGTGAGCGTGGCGATATATTTTTTCTTGTTCATACATGACGCGTTGTATGAGTTAACATGCGGCTTTCGAAATTTGATCGCTATTTTTACGAGGGTTTCGTTATTATTTTTTTTTAAAGAAAATAATGTTTGGTTCGTAAAATATTTTTTCCCACCTTCACCATTTTTTTTTTTAATATTGGATATTTCACTTCAAATCCGGCATAGTTCAGCCCTATTTTTGGGTGAAATATCAACCCTATTTTCACTCTCCGACTCGGCGTAGAACCTATTGCCGTCACTCGTCAGTCGAACACGATCTGACGGCCCCGCCGGGTAGAGGATGGGGCCCATTACGGCTAGTTTGGACCGGCGCGGCGCGGCCGGCGGTGCCCGATCCGCCGAATACCGGCTCAGTTTCCGAGCTCGGTCGGCTGCTGTTGTTTACAGGCGATGATGCCGTGGTGGCCAGTCGGCCCTGGGACGTGTCACCGCCTCTGATGGCGCCGCTGCGGCCCGGCGACCGCGCCGCCTCCGAGCACTTCCCTGTCCTCTGGCGGCGGGACCAGCAACCAGAGGTTTCGTTCAAGACCGGCAGTGTCGCCGAGGTCATCAAAGCAGCCCGCAACTTCCAGCTCTGAGCGTTATTGCCGTTCAAGAAAAATGTTTTGCAAAAATATAGGAGGGCATAATCCAGGCAATTATGTTGTTTATTCCAATGAATTGGCTATCGTTTTGCTAGCAACTGGCCGGAGCTTAGCTATTGTTACTTAGGATGCCTTCCGACCGATGTTGAAACTCATGGCTCCAATCAGAGTCGAGCGCCTCGAGCGGTACCTTTATATGTATGGTATATTGTGTGTAGGGTTAAGATAACTCAACTATGCATGACTGTCTGGTGCTGAGATGTTCAACTGCCATCGTTGCATTGGGGGTTTGGCCTTCGGCGGACACAAGTTTTGTAAGTGGTCTCGAAACTCCCTGGTATCTTGGGTTGAAAAGAACACCTTTGTTTAAAAGTGGATTGATTTATCTATCGGTACCTTATTTGAACTGCGACAGAATATAACATATCAATGACATGCATATGTACTGGTCCACTCAATAACTGTGCATAACAGCTATTGCCGATCGCTGCATTTACGTTCTAACACGTATCGCATGCCTCGTATAAATATGTAATAACATGCCGGTCATGGCAGTAACTTTAAATGAGTTTAGAATAAAACATTCACGTTTCCTGCCATGCTATTGACAATTTCATTGTGTATCTATTTCCTGTTTTATATAATACGTTGATAAACGTTGGTACGTACTACGTGGAACGATGAGGGAAGCCATTAACTGTTAGTGTACGCGGGTGCCTCATGTGCTGGTGGCATTTCCTTCCGTTGTGAAGGAACGTCCGCTATCATGGGACACAATTAACGTGGCCCTGTGGCACTGTCAGCGGCTATGGCCCGTTTAACAGCCTTCCCCGCCGTCCCATTACTGAGAGAGCGGCCCCCGGGCTCTGTGTCTGCCCTCTCCCGTCATCCTCTCCGGGGCGGGGGAGGGAGAAGTGACCGCTGGATATGAACAGACCCCTCATTACCCTCACCCACGTGAGCTACTGCGCGGAGGGGGGGGGGCGGTCGCACTCGGTCCCGCAGCTCTGGTGGTCACAGTGCTGTGTCATATAGAGCCCTCGGCTACGGCCCCACCCCTGACCCCGACCCAGCTGCTGTCGATCCAGACACTGCCCAGTAGGCATCGTTATTCGATAACCACCTAAGCAAGCCAAGGAAGGCAAATAAAAACCAGGTAACAATCCTAGATAAACCAGAAGGCCAGCGACGAGTAGAAAAAGGAGAAACCAACAGCATGAATCAATTAAAAGACAAAATGTGGAACCAACAAAACGAGTGAGCTCCTACCAAACTCCTATCAAAGACCAAACAAAGAGCAGCACAACTAAACCAGTGGAGGCAAAGCACTGAGCTGAGTGGCCGCGAGCTCGGTCTCAAACCATACAAATGAATCGTGGAAGGAGGGACAGAGGCCAGAGGCCGTCAGTGCGTCAGCCTAAACAACAGCGGACCTCCGAACCCTTCGGGCCACCGAGCGAGAATGACCCGGGGACTGGGTGGGGACCTCCGACGTCACCTCCCCACCACGTGGGGCGAAACAACACGAACCCGGCGCACCACCGCTGCCAAACTGAGGTGGCAGCTCGCAAAGGGAAGCCTTCACCGTCAGGCAACCGTGCCAAACTAACGGCCGCGCCGCGGTCCCACCAAGCTACAACTGGTAGGCATGACTGATCCCGCCTGGCCCGGTCCGAACCGCTATGATACAACTCCCAACTCGACCCCGCAGCTATGGTTCACCATCCCGGGGCCTGGTCAATCAGGTTATCGCGATGCTAAGCCGGCAAGTGTTTTTAGCTAATGTGATATACGAACAGTGTGCACACTGCACAGTGCACAGTGCACACATAGGCACTGGTGGAGCCAGGGGGGGGGGGGGATTTGGGGCAAATGTTCCCCCTACGGCGCTCGATATCGACAAAATTTAAAAATGTGGTTTTGTGGTGCTGTGGGGCTGTTCACCACATATCAGTGACTGGATTTTACGTCAATCAGAAATGCAAAATATCAACCTGGTGCGTGTTCCAAAAATTCAATCAGTTCGATCCAAACGGCCCCAAGTAAAAGAATTAATTAAAAGAGCGGGTTGTTATATTTTTAAGTTCCAAAACGAAGTCAAAAACCGAAACAATGAATCATGCAGTGGAGTGACGAAAAGAAGAGAATGGAATCCAAGTTTGCCAAATATGCCCTGCCTAATCTAAGTTATAAATCCCGGACAGAACGGGCCTAATGGAGCCAGACGTGACGCGTCTGCTCGGGTCAAGAGCTCGGCCTAGAAGTCCCCGGGAGCGCGCGGCCCGACGCAGCGGGCCGGGCCCAGACATGCGCAGAAGCACTCGGACACCACGTGGCTGCCGATCGGAGCGCGGATTGGTCACTGGCCGACGCACTGCGGCAGCGCAGGCCGCAGCCACGCGGTCGCATCGTGATGGGACAAAGTTCACGAACAGACACGTCCTGGGCCGCCCCCCCAGCGCCGGGGCGGGGTAGCGACGTCACAAGTCGGCGCGCGAATCGGTCTGCGCCGGGAACTCCCGTGCCGGCCGGCGACACACGTGGTTACCACAGTACTCACCGCCTCAGCGCGGAGCGCATACACGATAAGCCAAAACAATCACTTTTCACATCACTCGGTGCGCGACGTGATCGACACTTCACTGCGCGACGCAATAATCACTACACGGTACGGCGCAACGCAATTGTCACTGCACGGTCCTGCGCGACGCAAGAATCACTACACCGCGCGACGCAGTTATCACTTCACTGTCGGCGCCACGCGATCAGGATCGTCCTCGAACGCACGTACGCGGGCGCACTTAAAAGTATCGGAAGTCCGGTTGCGGCCGGAACTGCACGCGGCGGCCGCTGCGGGTGTGCACCGGCGCAGCCGCGGACGGCTTGTCGTCCTTGGCCGGCGATGCGGAAGACGTCACTCCAGGTTTTGAAGTCCTCTTGCTGGACGGTCTTGTAGTCGTCGGCGTCTGTGTCGGCTCGTCGGGCGCCCCAGTGGCGAGGGGCCCGAGCGAGGTCGACGGTGACGGCTGCTGCTCCGAAGCCGTAGGCTCGGTACTGCTCGGACCAAGCGTGTCCGCAGATGGCGGCATGTGTGCCGGTTTGAGTCTGTCGACGCTTACAGTGTCGTGGGCGCCAGTCGGCAGCTCCAACGTGAACACTTTAGGGCTGCGTCTGATGACTCGCATGGGGCCGCGGTACGGGGACTCCAGAGAGTGCCGCACGCGGTCAACGCGTACCCACACGTGTGTGCATGTCATGAGATCGGGTGGCACGTGCGTCGGTGGTGTGCGGGCGTGGTTCGAGCCCTGTGAGAGTGTGACGAAATCGATTTCTGACATACGTTTTGCCAGTTCTTGGACGTACTTTGTCCCGACGGGGACCTTCTCGACGGCGCAGCGGGGAAACAGCACCTGCGCGCCTGTGACGGCAGTGAATGCCGAAAAACCTGACTCTGCTGGCATAGCTCTTATACCTAGCAAAACGACGGGTAGCGCGCGCAGCCACTCTTGCCTGCGCGCCCGGATGGCGGCTTTGAGCGTTCGGTGGACTCTTTCCACCATCCCATTACATGTCGGATGATAAGCAGTGGTTCGGAGGCGATGGAAACCTATCATTGAAGACAAGTGTGAAAACAGTTCTGATTCGAATTGGGAACCGCGGTCTGTGACTACATGCAGCGGAACTCCGAATCGGGACACCCAAGTGTCGAGGAAAGCAGAGGCTACACTTTCCGCGGTGATCGAGACCAACGGCACGGCCTCGACCCAACGCGTGGCGCGATCGATGCATGTCAACAAATAACGAAATGGTGCGGTGAAGGGGTGCCCGTGAGGTACTGACGGGGGCAGCGGCCCGACTATGTCTATATGTACAGTTTCGAACCGCTGTGAGGGCACGTCAAACCGACCGGGCGGAGAACGAGTGTGCCTGTGCACCTTGGCTTCCTGGCATGCTTCACACTCCTTCACCCATCGCGCAATGTCACGGCGCATATCATGCCAGAAATAGCGAGAGCTGATGAGACGGGTGGTGCCTTTCCTACCCGGGTGTGACAGGCCGTGGAAACGATCAAACACGGCGCGCCTGCATGCCTCTGGTACGTACGGGCGTGGATGTGGTCCAGAGTTTTCACACAGGACTGTGATGTCGCCAGACAGTGTTACTGGCTCCAATCGGGAGGTGTCCTGCGGGTTTGAGCGCGATTCTGAACCTGACTCGGAATCCTGGTGCTCTGAATCGGCACTGCCGGCGTCTCTCTCCTTTTCCTGCTTCTGAGCCGCCGCGATAAAATGGAGGTCACATGCATCGAGGGACACTGCATTCACCGGGCGACTGAGACAGTCCGCCACCACGTTGTCACTGCCACGAATGTACGAGACCTCCGTGATGTATTCCGTGATGACACACCAGTGGCGCTGTTGGCGGTCAGACTTAGCCGTGTGCGGGCTGTGAAAAGCGCGCACGAGTGGCTTGTGGTCCGTTCGCAGGGTAACGTGGCGGCCTTCGATCATGTCACGAAAGTGGAGTGTGGCCAGATAAGCCGCGAGTAGCTCTCTGTCATACGCGGCGTACTTCTGTTGGGCCTGACTGAGCTTCCGTGAGAAGAAGCCAATGGGAACGGGTACTCCGTCCACAATCTGATGGAGCGCGGCACCCACCGCGACTTGTGATGCGTCAGTAACGAGCTCGTACTGCTCGCAGTGTGGCACTGGGTGTGGAAGAGTGCAGGCGCCGGCCAGCGCCGCTTTACTGTCACTGAACGCCTGAGTCTGTTCCTCTGTCCACGTCAGTTCTTTGCTTTTTGGGTCGAGTCGAATCAGTTCGGTCAGGTGGAACGTGACATCGGCGAATCGCGGAATCATACGCCGGTAGAAGCCGATGAGTCCCAGATAGCGACGCAGTGACTCTGAGTCATGCGGTAGAGGGAGGTCCAGAATCTCCTTCACTCTGGCCTTGGGAGGTGTGACACCTGTGCTGGTGACGTCATGGCCGAGGAAAACGAGCGACCTTTTCATGAACTCGCATTTCTCCAGTGAGATGCGAAGCTTGTGCTCAGCCAGCTTGCTGAACACGAGGCGCAGATCTTTCTCATGCTGCTCCTGGTTCTCGGAAAATACCAGGATATCGTCGAGATAGACGAATACGCACGGCACGTCTCGGAAGATGCCGTCCATGACCCTTTGGAATGTGGCGCCTGCGTTGCGAAGCCCCATTGGAATGAAGGCGTATTCGTACAAGCCGAAGGGCGTGGTGACTGCCGTCTTCTCTGAGTCAGCGGGGTTCATAGGCACCTGGTGATATGCACGGAGCAGATCGATTTTGCTGAACCACTGAGCGTTGTGGAGCTTGGTTGAGAGGCTCTGAATGTGCGGCAGTGGGTAGCGGTCCGGTTTGGTTACGGCGTTGAGCGCGCGGTAATCACCGGTGACACGCCACTCACCAGGGGTACTCTTCGGAACCATGTGGATGGGTGAGGCCCACGGGGACCTAGACGGACGAATCACTCCTGTTTTGAGCAGCACATCGAGTGCTTGCTTTGCTGCGGTTAGTTTGTCGGGCGGCAGCTTGCGTGGGCTGGCGAACGTGGGTGGAGCGCTGCCGGTGTCGATGAAGTGCGTGGTTTTGATTGGCGAGTCTGTGTAATCCGGCTGGTTAGGGCTGAGAACAGCGGGGTGATCCTCTAGGATG